CCCAAGCCGGAATTAAGATTGCCGGAAGAAATATCAACAACCTCCGATATGCAGATGATACCACTCTGATGGCGGAAAGTGAGGAGGAACTAAAGAACCTTGTAATGAGGGTGAAAGAGGAGAGTGCAAAAAACGGTCTGAAACTCAACATCAAAAAAACTAAGATCGTGGCCACTGGTCCCATCACCTCCTGGGAAATAGAAGGGGAAGATATGGAGGCAGTGACAGATTTTACTTTCTTGGGCTCCATGATCACTGCAGATGGAGACAGCAGCCCCGAAATTAAAAGACGCCTGCTTCTTGGGAGGAAAGCAATGACAAACCTTGACAGCATCTTAAAAAGCAGAGACATCTCCTTGCCAACAAAAGTCCGAATAGTCAAAGCTATGGTTTTTCCTGTAGTGTTGTATGGAAGTGAGAGCTGCACCATAAAGAAAGCTGACCGCCGAAGAATTGATGCCTTTGAATTGTGGTGCTGGAGGAGACTCCTGAGAGTTCCCTGGACTGCAAAGAGAACAAACCTATCAATTCTAAAGGAAATCAACCCCGAGTGCTCATTGGAAGGACAGATCCTGAAGCTGAGGCTCCAGTATTTTGGCCATCTTATGAGAAGAGAAGACTCCTTGGAAAAGACTTTGATGTTGGGAAAATGTGAAGGCAAGAGGAGAAGGGGACGACCGAGGATGAGATGGTTGGACAGTGTCATCGAAGCAACCAACATGAATTTGACACAACTCCGGGAGGCGGTGGAAGATAGGAGGGCCTGGCGTGCTCTGGTCCATGGGGTCACGAAGAGTCAGACACGACTAAACGACTGAACAAACAAACAAAATGAATTCCTGAATGCCTATGTTTGTGTCTTATTTCTCTACATTTATAATTCTTTCCAAAGTTCATACCTTCCCCTAACCTGTAAACAATCTCTTTCTGCAACACTTGGGGTTTGATTGATTTTTCAATAGGAAATATTGTTCCTGTATCTGTTGTAACTCAAAAAGTTTGTGACTCAGAATCTTGCAAACTGAAAGCGTGCTGATAACATCAGTGTTATGTCTAAAATTTTACAGCCTAGAGTAATAAAAGTCTATGGCATAAAAAATCTAGACCCCCAGAAACCTTAAAAGTTAGACTATTGTAATTTTAAAGAAAGCAAACTATAAAACCTGCTTCCTTTATGTCTGATCTTCATTTGCAAAATAAGTTAAACTATCAGGATTTTTATGGTAGAGTGACCTTGCTTGGCTGGACCTAGTCACTTGTTTCGAAATGACTATAATAATAATATAATCATATACAGTCAAGTCAATTCTGACTTGTGATGACCCTTTTCAGGTTTTCTAGGTAGAGTATTCAGAAGTGTTTTACCATTTTCTTCTTCAAGGGATGTCCTGGGACTGTGCAGCTTGCCCACCAGGATGCACAGTGGGGAATTAAACTCCCAATCTCTGGCTCTGCAGGCAGATACCTAACTCACTGAGCTATACAGTGGGTTAGGTATCTATCCAGCCAGAAATGATTACAGTAAACTATTATTCAAGCCTCCAATTTAAATGCACTTTCACTTTCAGGGCTGCTCCCCTCTCTTAATTATTTTAACATTCTATACATACAAAATCTCACATTTTGGCAACAATATCTGGAAATGGTCTTCATTCAGTGACAGGTTCATCAAAAAAAGAAAGAGGGATCTTCTGATCAAATTCAAGACACAGAGTTTGGCATTTCTCACATTAGCAACTAAAAATAGCCAAACAGGTTTCCCCAATTCTTAGGACTAAGTTCACCTGTTTGCTAGTTCTGCTGTGATAAGACATAAGACTAAATTTGAGACTCATGCATGAATACAGTGGGGTCTCGACTTGCGAACAATTCGAGTTACAAACCTGCCCTATAGGGAAAGTAAGGACTCGACATGCGAACTTCCCTCGAGTTACGAACAGGGGAAAAAGTCCCCCCTCCCTCCCCTTAGAGGCTTCTGGAGGGGGGAAAAGGGTCAGAAACTTAAAAATAAATACTGTACTGTTAAATAAAGTCACTTACCAGGCCTTGGTAGCCCCCAAACCACAGGAAAAAGAGCAGGAAAGAGCTAAAAGCCAACACCCAGAAACAGCCTGGCAGCCATTTTGTGGTTTTCCCCGCTCCTCTCCCCGCCTAACAGCTGATCGGCTGGCTCTGAGCAGGCTTCCGGAGGCTTGCTCAGCACCTAAAAAGCCTGCCTGAGTGCCTTTGTGCTGAAAAAGTCAGCACAACATGCTTTAAAACATTATTTAAAATTGGCTTCGTTTTTTAAAAAAAAGAGTTCTAAAGTGATGCCTTTAGTGTTCCCTGCCTTCCCTGAACCTAAGGGGAAAAAAGAAAGAAAATATTCCCCTCTAGTGGCAGAAGGCAGAATAGCAGCTTCCCATTAGTTTCTATGGACAGAAAAGAGCAAATACGGATTAAATGGTTTTCAATGCATTCCTATGGGAAATGCAGATTCGACTTAAGAACTTTTCGACTTGAGAACCACCTTCCAATACGGATTAAGTTCTTAAGTCGAGACCCCACTGTATCAACACAACAACATGGGTTATGGTGTTCTTTTTTTTATTTCTGGTTTCACAGAAATCAGTCTGAGGAACAAGGAGGCAATGCATGTGGAGGCAATATGCCACTGGTCATCTTTAACTTTCATTGTTTGTGCAAAAAACTGTCAAAGGCATCATCTTACCTAATAATGACTGGTCCACAGTAGGAAGGGTGTATTTTGGAGCACATGTCCTCCAGTTGCAGGCGCTCCCCTGGGCTGATATCATAGTTGTGCTTTGGATAGCTAACCAGCCAGCCATAATCAACCCCCGTCTTGATCTTGCGATACTCATTTTCTCGCTCCCGCTGCTGTTTTTCAGCTTCCTTGATCTGCCAGCTGAGCTCCATCATAAGGGTCTCCACCACCATTTCTGTTGGGCTCCTCTGAGCGATGCGACTGGGGGGTTCATTCCACCCAAACCAGGAAGCCAATGACATGCTTGCTTGCTTGCTCTCACTCCTCTTCCTTTATCTGCAAAAAGCAAATCAAAGAATATCTACAGTTAAGCCTGCAGTATCTAAGGCGACCACCTATGTTTCCTAGACACTCATGGGGAGGCTGTAACTGCCCTGCACCCACTGATTTGCCCCTTGATTACCCTCACCCCAAATGTTTAAATGGCCAAAAAGGGAGGTCTTCAGTTGCTTCTGGTCTTGAAGCCAGTGAGACACAATTTGTCTATTATGGACGCACTCCAGTGCCTGCCTTCTCAGAAGTAAACCACGTACAAGTTGATAGGGTTTATTCCCAGGAAAGCAGTCTTAGATTATCAATAGCTACTTGTCAGAGCAACTTTTTGTATGGCACAACAGAAAACTGAATAGGAGCTGCTTAGAAACATGTGAGGGAGGATGCTATTGAACTCAGGTCTAGATGTGGGTCTCCCAGAGGGATCTGGGATAGGATCAGACAGACTAGAGGGACTTTTGATGAGATGCAGCAGGATTTCTCTTAGGTTTTTAGCAAAGGAGGGATACGACTCTTCTCCATGCCGCTGCCATTCTTTCAAGAAATATAACAAACTGCCAAACATGCACCAGTAGTTGATTCAACTCAATATCATCCTCCTGCCAAAGTTCATGGTGGAAAAGTCACATTCAGCACATCTATTAAGGACCCAGTGATGCTGGATAGCAGAGACACAGTCCCTAATATCTTCCAGTTCACCAATTCCTAAGAATGGGAACCTAGCCCTCTTTCACTCATTTGTAGTTGCCCAACTTTGCTCTAAAGTCTCTAACAAATCCCCAATTAATTAAACAAACAGTGGGGAAAATGTAAAGCCTTTCCCACCTTGAGCCCACAAAGAGTGTGAATGAGACACAACCTTCTGTCCTGGACAAATAAGAAACGTACAGACATGTACCTGACCTTAGAAAAAGCTGAAGATAGCAAGGAAAAGGAAAACTGAACACAAAATGAATTTATAAAGAGAACCACAGTCTTCTGTCTGTAAGACCTGGATAAGGCTGTTCATGGAGGTCCTTAATTTATAGAGTCTCTAGATGTGGCTTGATGGCACATAATAACAAAGGCAGGTAGGTATTTGACAACTTCTAGATGAAGCAAGATACTGTATACCCCCTCCCCATTTAGTCTGTTGTTTCAACAAGAACTGTGTTTTCCTTCATTGCTGCCTATTCTATCTTATATTTGTACATTTGATAAAAGAGGGATATACAAATGTAACTATTATGCTAGTGGCCTAAATTAAATAAGTTATAGGTCTCTCAGAGTATCTGCTAGAAGACGCAAGGCTCCAGAACAGGAAATGACATTACATGCACCCTATTGTTTTCCGAGTAATAATATCTAACAGGCTACATCCATTCCATATTTAGAAGCCAGAGAAAACCTAAGTATTGAGCAGCTGCATAAACTCCTGCGACGTTGCTGGAACCAGTCGTATTGGCTCTTGCCTTTCCATTGGACCATTTCAGCAATGTGGAGAGGGGGGATCTGCCTATCCTCCATATTACCTTACCCGGGCTTCATGCTCTGGAGAGGACGCTCCTCGATTCAGAGCATGTTACTATAGTCTCTCGAGACTGAAGGATGCCTATGACATGACATAAAAGGCTAAGTGAAAATCCTTCCAGGTTATCCCAATACATAATAATTCTAACAGCAGGGCACCATCCGACATAAATTCCTTGTTCCATTTAGAGAAACCATGACTATGAACGCCACCTTTTTGTTCGCCCATGCTAGCCAGTCAGCCCAGAAAGATGCCAGGTTTGATCATACTAAAAGCAAAGGGTGACCATGGAAGTTTCCAATCCAAAACCGGACTGAAAGCATTCCCAATCATCAATATCATTCAGAAAAACCAGGAGCTGAGGTGCAACCCTTCTCGCACATGCCTGAGGCAAATATGCAGCCATGCTCCTGCGTGACAGTATTTCATGATCTCAGAGGAATTCTGAGGGAATTAAAATGGCTGTCATTAAAAGCAACTACAAGAAAGCTAGAGCGGGGTTTCTGCTTGTTTTCCAAGGCCATGTCCACCAGGGTCAAGGGAAGGGGACAGGCCCATCCAGACCAAGCAGAACTACAGAATAAGAGTACATTGTACTGCAGTAGAGAAGCTACACAGTGCAGCTTTAAAAAAAAGAATAGTTGATAAGCAATTCAGAAAGAGTTAGTCTACTGTAGCAGATAGAATCCTGGACCACAACTCAGGAGGGCCGGGTTCAAATCCCCGCTTGGCCATAGAAATTCATTGGCGAGTGGCAACGCTAAGCCACGCCCGTGAACACCTCCCATGTCTTGAAAAGTGCTATGGATGTGATATGTCAGAAGCAACCAGAGGGCACATACAGTAGCAAACAAAGCAACTCAGTACAGTAAGTACTACAGGGAAGAATCCTACAGCTTCAAACAAGTAAAATAAAAAAACACACACACACAAAGGGTGGTGGTGGAAATGAAATAAAAGTGCTGGTGGTAGTGATACCATGCTCAGCGTTGTCAACATGGAAGGATATGGTTGTGAACCCCTCTGCCCTCACATCCTCCAGCCTGGTATTAAAATCATCCCCCAACACAGTGTTAGGCAGCTAAGGCTTACAAGGCCAAAGGATAGAGAATTAGGATTTACAGGGACAAAGACGTCATCTGCCGCTCTCCGGTGACAGCTCCCTTCGTACTGCTGGGTTCAGCTGCAAAACGTGAAGTAGCAAGAGAAGAAAATCAAACTTCCCAGCCACAACAATAGTTTGCTTTAAGGGACAAAGACGTCATCTGCCGCTCTCCGCTCTCCCTTCTTACTGCTGTGTTCAGCTGCAAAACGTGAAGTAGCGAGAGAAGAAAATCAAACTTCCCAGCCACAACAATGGTTTGCTTTATGCTATACATGATATGCGACTGAAGGATGCCTAACTAACTAAGCCATGATATGTTATCCCACAACAATAGTTTGCTTTATGCTAGCCATGATATGTTATCCCTGCATATTTAAGAGCCCTTTTACTTTACACAAGACTCCTGACCTTGCTGGAGATGCAAACTCCTGGCACTTAAAAACAACAACAACGATTGACACAGTTGCCAGCTTTTTTGGACTGTCCTGGAGGGCCACTGAGGCTTTCATGACAACTGCCTCGAAGACTCCTTAGTTTATAGGATCCTTCTGCCCTCCTTCAATGCAGCAAATAGTGACTTTGAATAGGACAGCTCTGGAATGCCCCCCCCATACACAAAAAGGAGATTTTACTGGCTAAATATGATCTCCTTTTTGTGTCAGGAAAAGATCTTTTCATTCATCACAGCCTTTTAGATACGTATTTTGCTCTTTCTTTCTTTCTTTCTTTCTTTCTTTCTTTCGTCATGTTTTCATCTGGCTCAGCACAACCATAAATTGGCTGCTCTGTTTGTTTGTACTGTATGTCTCCCTCCCCCTTATATGTTTTTATATTCTTGTTAGCTCTGAGGCGTTGGGGTAAGGAATGGTAAAATGGGATAGGTGCATAAAACCAGAGTTTGAAAAGGTTACTTTCTTTGGACTACAATTCCCAGATTCCTCTTGGAAAAGTTACTTCTTGGACTATGACTCCCAGAATCAGACATCTCTGCAAGAGGCAGGTGAAGACTCACCTGTGAGTCCTGATGCAGGACATCTATTAATCAAGTCAAGGTTCTCTTTCTGAAAAAACACCACTGGAGTCCAAGAGCCTTGCACACAATTCCACGTAAAAATAAAATATACAAATCCCATCAGTAAAATATTTATTTATGTTCCCATCTGCTTCAGCCCACTGTTTTTAGCTTCATGGAACTCATTACAGCGACATTCATTCATGAGCTGGTCCCATTTGTCATTCTCTTGACCATTGCTTGCAGGAGATGCCACGTATTGGTGTAAGTACTGCTGGTGTTTTCAATTTAAAGTTCACCACAGGGCTAATCATCAGATTACCCACGGTGGCTTTTCTATTAGGAAGGGCTAAAAACAAACATCCAGAGCTCAGGTTTGAGAGAGGCTCTTTAAAAGCTTTTGTATAACTCAAGTCTTTTAAATTTAAAATATTTTACACTTATTTCTTTTTTAAAAACCTTTTGTAATGTACAATAATTCGGTTTTTTTAGCATTCAAAGAAATACACCGAATGCTGATTATGGCTATACATAAAGCATAATCCAGCAAAAAGTTTGCTGCAAATATCATTGAAAACAATTGCATTTTAGTCATCATAGGCTCTGGCATCCAATCATGACTTCATTTCATAAATTACAATTATAATCAAGAAATTATAGATAAAAATGCACTGGTATATTATTTTATTGACATTATGTGTGAGAGCTCTAATCCAGAAAAAAGACAGACATGTATGACTTTCAGAGCTGATCATATTAATGTTAGTAATTTAAACTCAACATTTCTACCTTTTCTGCAGGATTGTGGGTGCTGGGAAGGAAAGTTAAGTGTCTTGTGCGAGTCCCTTCTATTTATTAAATCTTTCGGCACTGACTGGATGAATATGTGTCAAGTAAGCACCACTGTCCACTTACAAGGTCCACAGAGTTGTGTCATGTGCATTTGCAAACACTGTTTAATCTTCTAGTCAAAAAGCTTTTTGCTATATGATGTCAAGTCACATCCAACTTATAGCAACCCTATTGGGGTTTTCAAGATATATGAGATATTTAAGGAGTGGTTTTACTAGTGCTTCTCTCCATTGAGTTTCCAAGGTCAAATGAGGATCTCCTGAGTTTTAGCCCATCTCTCTATCCATTACACCATACTGCCTCAAAAAAGAGGATATAACTATTTTTTTTAATTTATTTATTTATTTTATTTTATTTTATTTTATTTAAAGGAACGCATATTCTCTCAGTTATTGTGGTTTCCCTCCACCCACTGAATTTCCTCAAAGATACAGAACCGCCTCAGGAATCAGACTTGTGCAGTTAGCTCATGTTCATTTTTCAATGAGCAATCACAAAACAAAGCATGATAAATTCAAAATATT